CCCCCCTGACGCCCCCCCCCCCAAAAAAGAAAAACTTTTTAGGGGTCTGAGTATTTGAGAAAATAAGCGCTCGAGTATGAGTAATCAATAGACAATGTTTGAAGAAATTCCAGGGAAGGGGGCGAAAAAAACCGTATTTGCATCAAGCTCTTTCCCCTCGTAAATTGCATGTAAACCAGGAAAAATTTGAGAATTCCTAACCGGAAATTTCACTGATTTTACTCAAGATTCCATACAAAACTCAAAACATTTTGGATAAAAATTGCACAGGTATATTTTTGTGAAATAAATTAATTTTTTCAGTCAATTTTGCAACCTTGGAGTCAAGTTACGTTCCTTCGTCCGGGAGACAACTAAATATTCAATCCATGCCTCACTAGCAAATATGGGGTTGTATCCGTAAACTCTTGTCAGACGATTAAACCGTGCTGTGAATATATCAAGGTCAAATGCTGTGATTGGCCCAACTCATCGAATACTAAAGGAGGGCGAGGGAGGGGGGGGGGTCAACCCCAGCCTTACGTAAGGCTCCCATTTTTAAAAATAAATAAATGATATTCCCCGATGAAGATAGTTTTCTTTGAAAGTTAATTTACGGTTTCCTTTTTACATAATTCAAATGAGCGTAACGCTGGCATGTGGAAACAGCAGCGAGGTGATCTTGACTTGCTCTCGGGAGCTTGAAAGTCTGGCGCTGACCTCCCTGGTAAAAATTGGTAGTGAAATCTGTGTTCCAAAATACCATAGACCTACAGCCGGCTGTAAGATTTCCAATAGCTTCTACAGCCGGTAACACGATTTCTTACAGCCTTATATAGCCGATGGAGATTAAGCAACAGCCTGGGGATATAGTGTATGCTAAACGTTAGTAATTACGGATGCTAGGACTTAGTTAGTTTTTGGACTACCACTCTCTTTTTGGGCCGTAGTATTTTTATTTATTTTGCGAGTAAAGCTACGTACTTTTGAAGGATGCCTGCCATTCCTAATACGTTGTAGCGCCTTCAATTTCGTATGATACTGTGCAATACCTCTGGTGTGAAATAGTTGCTACAAGCGCCGTGGTACGCGGCGCGGAGGGCGGGCAGCCAGCGCGGAACGCGCATTGGCGCCTACAAACCTAACAGGGATACTTCAAGCATTGCGTAATGCGTGAAGTATCCCTGTTAGGTTTGTAGGCGCCAGTGCGCCGCCGCTCCGCTTTGTGTTAGGCTCTAATATTTAATCTCGTGGAGTCGGCGTTTTTCAACTCATAACTTTGAAATGTTTGCACACTCTGTATGGATTAATCTCATTTTAGTTGATGGAACAAAATATGTAGTAAAGGAAAATATAATGTGCGTTTTGTAAATATTAAGGTGATTCCGTACAAACTTAAGGATTTACAAAGCACGCGAATTTCTACACAATTTCTTATAGCCTTTTACAGCCGATGGCGAAAAAGCAACAGCCAGGCGATAAAGTGTAAAGCCCGCAATAGGAACTATAGCCCGGCTGTATAATTTTTTATCGCTTCGTGTAGCCCGGCCGTATGATTTTTTTCCAATTTCTACAGCCAGCTTTATGATTTTCTATCGCCTTCTTCGGTCGGCTATGAGAACTCCTGTGGTATTTTGAAACGCAGCTCCTATCGCCCATTTTTACCAGGGCTGGCAAAAACTAAAATCATCCCTTCGAGGAGAGAGGTGTCTCGGGATGGAAGAGTAAGTTCGGGCCCGGTGCCGACCACGTGAATAGATGAATATTTAATTACCACATCCATCTTCGGCCTATTCAACTTGAAAACGAGAAAATAGTGCCGAGCCAAGCGCTCACTTTTCCAGATTCGGGTATTTTTTTCGGGGCGGAAACTTTCCGGCAGACCACTCTCTTAAAAAAAAAAAAAAAAAAAAAAAAAAAAAAAAAAAAAAAAAAAAAAAAAAAAGGTGCGATATTTTTGGGTACGGTGAAGCCTCAATTATCCACAACTTTTCAGCGAGCACTTTACGCTGTTTTCGAGCAAACAAAAAAAAAAAATAACCAACTTTGACTTTACGGGTGCAGAATCTTCGAAGCTTCCACATTTTTACGCGCCACATCGCTGGCTTCCCACAATTAATTCATCGTTTTCTCACGAGTTTGGAATAATGATAAAAACATAAGATTCGCTCTTCTTCTTTATTTTTTTCCTTTGACCTCCGACTTTTAAACCTTAAAAGTCTCCCTTAATCAACATTTTCACGTCCCCGAGTAGGCGCGAGAAAAGTTTTAGTCCTATGCCTATTACAAAAGTTTCACGTGTATTTAGATTATTTTTCAGTATTCAAGCCATTTCTAGCCAAATTCAAGTGTTGAAATCCAACACAATGTGTTTGGGGGGTGCGGTGAGGGGTCGTCATCAAAACATCACTAATATCGAAAACCCGAACTTTTTAAATGGGGAAGGGTGGGACGAGGGTTGCAATAGAACAAATAAGTAAAGTAAAAATGTCAAAAGTAGGGTGTTGGTCGTAATTTAACTTCCGACACTTTCCGGGATATTTCCAATGCGAGCAACTTTGAAGACGTGAGGAGCTCGTATATTCAAAGTGGCCCCCGTGAGAATTCCCTTGCGGTAAATGTACCTCCGCCGCCCAGTGGACCGATTTAATAGAGGAGGCCGGACATTTCAAATGTTTATGTTTTTTCGTCACAAATGGGCTTGTTGCAAACTTTTGCTAGAGCAAAAATAAGAGTTGTTTCATATAGATAATGCCTCAAAAATCACGATGAGCGCATCGGCAAAGTCTGAAATGCACTCATAACTTCACAATCTGCGTAAGAAATTTGCGTTTTTTTAAGCTTCCCGCTTCAAAAACGATACTACGGCATAGGTGAACATTTTGTTAGAGGAGTCGCTCCATCGTCGGCGATATTCATCATGGCCGACGCTTGCACGCAGTTCCGCGCGTAATTCAAGGAGAGTTCAAGGTCAATCAATTCGGGCGTAGAAAATATGAACGTTAACACACCGATTGTTATCTGGTCTAATCCAGTTCAGGTGTTATCTCGTCCCATCAAACGTGTTTTGGCGGATTGGCGTCGGCTATGATGATTATTGCCGACAATGGAACGACTCCTCTTACAAAATGTTCACCTGTGCCGTGGTATCGTTTTTGAAGCGGGAAGCTCAAAAAACCGCAAATTTCTTACGCAGTTTGTGAAGTTATGAGTGCATTTCAGAGTTTGCCGATGCGCTCATCGTGATTTTTGAGGCATTATCTATAAGAAACAACTCTTCGTTTTGCTCTAGCAAAAGTTTGCAACAGGCCCATTCAATTTCATAGGGTGTATCCGAAAGGAAATTTCACAAAAAAAAAAAAACCAATGGAACTACTTTTGAACTTTTTTGTTTTATTTTCTCAGAAATATAAGCTTTCAACGTTTCCAGATTCTGTCCGACTTCCTCCTACTGACTCGATCTTTTGTGGGCCGGCTGTTGCGCGGAAAAAGGAAAAGCCCCGATGGGAATGAATGTTTCTCGTTGAAATCTTACAAGTTTACTTGTGGACTTAAGGACGATCGCACCACATAACGTCGCTATTTTAACGTGACGGCGTATATCTGTCGCAGGCAATACGCAGTCGCCGGCAATTTGCAAGCCAGTGGTGAATAAATATAGAAAATCATATAATTCAAAAATAAAAGAACAAGATTAGAGTGCTGATTATGTTGCCAATAATGTGAATAGACACTTTTCCATCCTTAAAAACATGCAAGAAATATGCACACTTAGGAGAGCGTGCAATGAACTCCGTGACATCAGTTTGGTTTAGATCGGACAAGCAACTAAACTAACATCGTGACAAAGCGTAGAGTATCACGAAAAATGAAGGCGCTTCAAGCCGAGCTCATACTTTTGAAGACTATAACCCTTAAAAATTGCATTATGCCGATGCACATTATTGCATGTGAACCGCTTGCAAATTGCCGGCGATTGCTAATTGCCTGCGACATACATCTATTTCCACACGGGCCCCAGCAAGCATTGAGTAATACGGAGAACAGGGCTCACGCAACGTGGAATTTGAGATACGTCCTTACGTCAGAGGGGCAACAATCATAGCGATTGTATAGGGAAAACGCAGACAATCATTCCAAACACCCCTAGTTTTGAGGACTGAACAAAAGCGCTCATCTCACGATCAGTTTTTGATCCCCCGCCTATACATGGTTAGCTGGGCCCTACCATCACTATGATAAATTAGTGAAAATATTCAAATTATTGGTTGATATTTTACCTGTGTTTCATCTCCGGGCAGCAGAGGTGAGTGAGCCTGAAACAGAAAGAAACAATTTGGTTACAAAAACTTACTTTGAAAGAAAAATTCGGGGGAAAAAACAGAAATAAAATTGTTTTTTCGAATTATTCAGATTCTTCATATTCAGGGTCTTCGAGTCTGGGGTCGATACGCTTGGAACATCCTTTTCCGAAATTCGTAATTTAACGATGTCCAAATAATACATTATAGAACACTGCCCAATTATCTTAAAGCTTTCTTTGCCTTAAAATTCTCAACCGGGGCGAGCCACGCTTTAGAACACGGAAATCCGTATTGACTCAACGCGATTGAGTGATCAATCGCATATTAATAACAGGGGGGTGGAGAGTGGAAACGGAGGGAACGGGTACACAAAAGGAAGCCATCGAATGGGAGTCGAACAGGGTGAAATGGAATGGTAGAAAAAGAGCGCGGAAGAGTGCGAGAGAGACTGCGGAAGGGAGAAAAGCAAACTGAACAGAAGAGATTAACTCGGAGCTTAATAATACGCGTTGCAGCGTTTGTGCAGGGGAAACTTGTTACACCGCAGCGAAGCTGGTTGCAGCGACTCCTGCGTCAGGCGTTCGGCCAAGGTGTTTGTTCTCGACGGAGCGCTTTCCCGCCTGCACCAGACTTACCTCGGCCTTTGTTCCGGAGCGCTCCCGCTTTTGAGGGTCCCCGAGTTTGAGAAAGGAATTAGGATTTAGGAGCAGCGCCGATGTTTGGCCCCTTCAACGACACTCAATCGAGGATCTGAAGATTTTCTCGTGTTTCCTGCTATCAAAACGGTGTGCGCTCTGCGGTAAGGCGTTGCATTGCTGCCGGACGACGGCTATCGGGCAAAGCTGCAACTGTCGCGACTGACCGTTGCGTTTGTTGGTCAATCTCGCTTCATCTTCGGAAGCTTCTCACTAGCCGAGAGGGAACATAATTCAGGACAACATGTAGAAATCAAATGTAGAATCAATGATGCAACATGTACAATTGTACATTCATATCAACATGTAGAAGGGACATAGCATTAGGATCAAAATTGTACCATTTTTGTAAGGCTCCGTTTGAGTTTCTTCGAAGATTGAGTAAAATACAACCAATTTCCCCTACAGGGCGACGTTTGCAGGTAGGAAAATAAAGCTGAGAAAAAGGAATGTTCATAAAAACAGCCTGTTACAGCGGAACCACAAACCGCTCTTTGCTTGCCTTTCAGTTTGGTTTATACGCGAGAGCTTGGGTTTTTCGCCGCATCTTTTCAGCTCAAATTAAAGAAGGGAGCGTTAAGAAAATAAAACTCTAGCTCTCTGTTTCCATTTTTCTTTTTTTAAATACAGCACGAACACCCATGCTTGATTGTGCTGGTTCAAAGGTATACCCATTACGTTTCACTTTAAGACCTGGGTTGCAAGCGTATCATATTTTGATGTTTATTCGCGTTCTTTTCATCCGGGGGAAAAAAACTTGATGGTTTTCATTTATATCTTTGATAGGACTTTAGTTTACGAGAGTTTTATGATTTTATGAGATTTTCCCGGAGGTAAGAGTGGTACAGAAAGAAAAGGCTTGACGCCGATCTACAAGGGTTTAGGAATAAAATAAAACACGATTTCTCATTTCACGCATAGAGAACGAAAAAAAGGAAAAAGTGGAACGTATACGTACAACTACAATTTCGACGTCTTCAAAAATCAAAATTATCTACCACGTTAAAATATTTCATTGAAATTATGATTTCCTCCTTCAACCATTTCGCTAAATGGACATATTTATGCTAAAAGGAACTATGTGCATAGGGTTTGCGCGAGACATAGTTCCTTTTCGGATAAATACATCCAAATTCTCAGGGTGTATACTAAAACAGACTGGTCGAAAATAAGTACTTCTAAGTACAGTACTTTTTCAGTGCATTCTCAAGAAATTCAATACCTCCTCCGACAGAAAAATTCCGTACTTTTTCAGTACCTCTATTCGACAAAATTCGAAAAATTTCAAAAATTTGAAATTGCGACAAAAATGACGACAAATTAAAAAAAAATCCGGACCATCTTGCGGCATTTCCGCACTTTTTCAGAACTTCCGGACTGCCCTTAAAAAAGCAGTGCTATTTCGGGACTTTCCAGAAATTCCGGACTCGTAGACACCCTGATTGTACTGAATGACGTCACAGAAACGATTAAATTAAATCGACTTCTTAGTATCTGGTTGCGGGTCGCTTAAAGTTCACGATGAAGAAAGAAAGAAAAAAAAAAAACACTTTTCTCAGAAGGTGCTGAACCTCGATGAAAAATCTCTAAATGAGCTCGGGATCGATTCCTAGCCGAGGAGAGCTGAAATTCCACGTAAAAATGTAATTAAACTCAGGTCCTGAATTCTGCAAAATAGACGAACGTCTGCGGAGTGTATGCTGCCGGGCTAGGGAAGAACGCCGTACGAACATTCGAGAGTTGCCAAATTTCCCTGGATAAAACATGTATTTTTGAAAACACTTATGCATATTTGTCCTTGAAATTTTCAGATAATTTAGATTAAATTGCGTACAAAATTGTCTGAAAATTGTGGAAAACAATATTCACAATTTTGTCAGTAAATCCGGTTTTAATCAGAGGAAACTTGTCAACGTCTGAAGGCTCGGACGACGTTCTTCCTTAGCGCGGCAGTGTAACACGGCTCGGTTGTGGGCTCTGCGTTGAAGTTTCCTTGCTCTCGGCACTCCTCTGAAATCTGATGAATGCCCCTCGCGAGATGGATGAGGAGACTACGAGGTTAAACTAACGAATCAACTACCTTCTTCTCATGTTATGAATAATACATAACTGGCCCCCGCCCGAGCTGCAAAAAGCGCATAAACGCTTTCTAACCACCGAAGCACTTGACTCAAGAGTGTATAATTCTCTTAACGGAGTCGTCCACAGGAAAAGGAGAAAGACACCTGTTGTGCAACTTTTAGTGCGGTCAATGTTTTAATTCGTATTAAAGTTATGTACGTACTTACGTAGGGGTTAAGAATTCAATTTGTGCCTACATAGACACCAACTCAGCGCTTCTCTAGTAAGAACGTATTAGAGCTTCCCCGCTTGTTTTTTACTTGAAATACTTACACTTCCAATTCAAACTTTCCCGAAAATGGGCAACTGATACTTCATCTTATTCGGTCTAAAAGTGCGACTATCATAGTTTCCTCTGTTGATGCACTTCAGTCTTGAAGTCTTGTAGGTTTCGGCGTCACGGTAGATTCTATTCCTATCGTCCAAACCAGTTAAAGTTGAAAGCTAATTGGCCGGAAATTGATTTTGGCCAATGTTCCGAAATTTGTGCAGTTGACCATTACATGGACCAAGGACTTAAGTCAATCGCCTCCGGTAATTTTGACCTAATCCACCACGGTTGCGCGTATAGACGATGGAAGCAGCATTCTTTAATCTCAGTCGCATTATCTCAAGATGAACAGGGTGTCTAGTATTTTTTAATTTTGAAAAATCCTGATATTTTCCTGATTTTTTGTAAGAATTCCTGATTTTATCATTTTGAAAATTCCTGTTATTTTCGTATAATGTTTGTTGAACTATAAAGTTTTTATTAACAAAACCCTATTCTACGACTAGCGCAACCGACCAATGAGGATGGACTGCCATCTTCGGCTTTTCTAGGTGCATATTCTAACTCGTCACGCTTAAGATTCCGGAAGGAGCTAGAGAGAGGGGATAAGAGATTTCGTTTATGCATTGCGATTTATGACGCGGGTGAGTTATGGAAACGGGAGGAAAAACGAAGCAGGAACGCCGAGTTCAAGCTTGAGACCAACAGCGCTTGTTTTCGGAATATAATTCCGGGGGACAATTCATAATCTGCGACAGTAAATTTCCGAGCCGGTAATTTTAGCATGAATAAAAGGGAGCCCGCGTGAGAGATGTGGTGCTCCGCGTAATAATACGCGCAAACCACAAGTATCCGCGAAACATAGGACGCCCAAAAAGTGATCAAAGGTAGAGGCGTAACGGAGAGAGTTATCTACGGGCGTATTCGAGCTGTGCGGAAAATTCTTCCGCGTTACAAAAAAAAAATCTGGACGATTCTCTTTGGTTTCTCAAAAATTATTTCATTATTAGCAGGTGAAAACACTGGAAAAAAAGTCGCTTGGATGTAGAGTCCAGACTCTTAAAGACATTAACAAGAAAATAATACTCTTGATCAGGGCCGGATTTACCTACTTGCCGCCCATGGGCCGCCTGTATTTTGCCGCCACTTCTCATTCGTTTTGAAACATCAATAAAAACTATCAAGTGGACGTGCCAGCGGGGGTGGGGTGTATAAGACGCGTTTACCCGTGTTGGAAACATTTTTTGGGAAAGCCCTGCCAACACTAATAGCAAAAATTCACCGAACTTAGCGCGAACGTTAAGTTTCGTAAACCTATCTCTGCGTGGTTAAGGCCTTCCATTCATAAGAAATGAACGAAAAAATTATGAAAGAACAAACATAAATGTGGTTTAATGATTTTAACTTCCATCGCCGCGCCGCGCAGATCGCACCGTGTTTGGAGCAATGCGTGAAGTATTCCGACAGTTTTGTAGGCGCTATGAGTTTCACGCCGACGACCACTGCTGAACGCACTGTGTTTGACGCAATGCGTGAAGTATTCATGCATTCTTGTAGGCGCTATCCGTTTCACGCTGACCGCGCGGTGGCCGCACTGTTTGATGCAATGCGTGAAGTATTCGTGCAGTCTTGTAGGAATGTAAGCGCTAATATGTGTTACATGCCGACCGCCGCGCCAAGGGCTTCTCCTTTTCATCTCAAGTCCTCGTCATCATTTCTCTCTCAGTCGCGCCGTTCCTGACCAAATTACGTGTTCGGTCTCTCTCTTAACTCGATTTATCAAAGGTGCTGTCTCTTGTATCACCGAAAGACGATAAAAGTAGAAATCACTATACTCTCAGGAAATGAGAGATTTTGTTTGTAATTTTTTTCTAAATCCGATTATTTTATACCTACATTTACAAAAATTGCAAAATTTGCCGCCT